TTTAATATGTGTTTGCTCTTCTGGTACGTATGGTTCATAGTCCTACGGACATTATTCATTGCTGCTGACAAGATATATCAGCAGCAGCAGATATACATTTTAAATACAAGGAATATAAAAAAAAGCACTGTTGTGTATTAGGATTTATTCCAATTATTCAAAATACAGATTCAAGGTTCTGTGCTGATAGACTATAGTGCCTAAATACCACGGGGATGAGCAACACAGAAATCTTATAAATGGATATGTTAAGTGGAAGATTATAATGTTTTTAACCTACATATAGCCTTTACTCTGAGGCTGTCACAACAATCACACATTTTATTGAATCAAGTCTCATCTTGCTTCTTTACCTCACAGGAGGAGGTATCATCCCTGTTTTCCAGATGGAGAAACTGACCTTACGAGACCTTGCCTGAAGTCAGGCCACAAGCCTGAGTCAAAGCTGGACTCAAACCCAATTCTTCTGCTTCCCAGTCTGTGCTTTAACCACATGGCTATCCTATCACACCTTTTAATTTATTTTATTTTCAGAGCCACTTTGGAGTCTTCCGAAACAACTACATAAGTAGCAGGTTATCTTCAGACTGTCAAAGACCATTGCTTCCAGTAATTATTTTTGTGTCTCAGACAGACTGAAAGATATTCTACTTTTTCCTTTCCTACCAAGGAATCAACTGCAGAGAGAACAAGAGGAGGATTCACCTAATAATTGGAAGAGTGACCCTTTCTTTGAGGTGTGGAAATAGACACTGTGCACTCCACTAAAACAAAGTAATCATGAACAGTGCCTGTCTAGCATCATGATTATTCAGCTATTCTTACTAGAAAACATCTTGTAGGGAACTATGCTTCATTGGCAGGGAGATGAATTAGTCACAGCTACTACCTACATTAAGTTAAACAATTCTCACACACACAAGAATGATTAAAGTGGTAATTTTAAAAAACATGAGATTCTAGTCTTTGCCTCTCCTATCACATCTGTTTCCCGTCACTGAAGTGGTCACCCTTTTAATCACATTGAAGTCTCTGGATCCGTATACACAGGACCAAATCCTTGTCCCATGGAAGTCAACTGGAATTCTGCCATTGACTTCAAAGATGGCTACTGATGGAACCATAGAATATTTCTGTTTTAACCACTATGGTCCAGATTTTTAAAGGTATTTAGGTGTTACTCTGCTCAGTGTTGCAAAGCCTAACTGACATACAACTCTAAGTCCCACTTTCAAAAGTGACTTAGACACTTCAGCTCCTAAGTCTCACTGAAAGTCACTAGGATTTAGGTGCCTAAGTGCCAGAGCCTCAAAGGTCTTTAGGTGCTTAATTTCCATTGAAAAAAATCAGTGGAAGTTAGGCACCTAAATACCTTTGAGGATCTGGGCTTACATTACTTTTGCAAATGAGACTTAGGAGCCTAAGTCAGTTAGGACTTGCAACACTGAGCAGTACCTAAATACTTTTAAAAATCTCGGCCTGTGTTAAAAAAAATTACACTTGTACTGCCAAAGAAGTCAGCAAAATGTCCATGAAGTTTTCCCCTCAAGAAATGTGGCAAGAGCTAATTTGACTTTTCCAGCACATGAAGAGAAGTTTAGGTCATTTGCCCTTTAGCCATAGAAGCACATAGGCAACCAGTACTCAACCATGTCAAAGTAGGTAATAGGTTAGTACTTGTTGGAGTTGAGCCAAACACAAGTGCCTGGGCTACTTCCTGGCCAGATTTTACTATTTTAAATGGACTCTAGAACCAAGAGATTTCCTTTCTGGTGCTGGCCTATTCACTTGACAGATGGCCTGCCAAAATATAACTTGTACAGACAGTCAGCCCTCTATTACACCAACCATGACCACTAGGAGCTCTGGAAAGAACAAGTGCTTTTATAGCAAACTCCACTGCAAGAACTAGTTGTCCTATCTTCACAGAGCTATCCCTTTAAAGAAGATGCTTTCAAGGATTTCAAGATCCAGATCCACAAAGGTACTTAGGCACCTAAGCCCCAAACTTACACATCATTGCAATCCAAAAAACTCCCACTCAGCTGCCATCTAACCCTGCAGGGGCCTCAACTCACTCAGTGTCTAAGTTTGTGCAGTAAAAGTTCCCTCAGTGCCTATGTTTCTGGCTGGGGGCATGCGCATTACTGCCTCCCTCTAGAAGTCCACATGTTCATCTCACATATAAGCCCCAGTGTAATTTACAAATGGTGGGAAGATAGGCACTTCTCTTCCTGAGTCGTGTGCAGGACCTGATGCAGTAGGTGTGCTCAGAGGCCACATAAAACAGTCAAGACAGAGGAGGTGGTAGCCCAGTGATTAGGGTGCTCACCTGGGCTGTAGGAAACCCTCAGTTTCAAGTCCCTATTCTGCCTGCTGAAGATACCAGATTGGAACAGCAATCTACTAACTCTCAGGTAAGTATCCTCACCACTGAGTCTCAGTCTCCATGGCCCAATTAATAGTGAGTTAATTAAAGTGGAACAGCTTCAATTGAATAGCATATCCCCTAAGCTAGTGGTCCCTTTGTCAATCTGACCCAAAGCCTTTTGCTGGGGGCAAAGGAGATTTGTCAGAGGCAGGACTTCTTTTTGAACCCACTTCAGTCCTGAGCTGCTGTTGTTGGTTTCTACCTAAAAATCTCACCTGCTTCAATACTGGTGTAACCCTAAATATATTATTAGGTCTATCGCCACCTTTCCTCAATCACTTTGCATTAAGCATTCTAAGTACTATATTAAGGGGTAAAACCAGTGAGCAGATTGACTAAAGGGTTTCATCAAGACCATACAGCAGGTCAGCTGCAGAGCTAGGTATAGAACACATGTTCCCTGAGCTCTCATCAGCAAAGCACACCACCATTATTAAAAGATATATATACTCAGGGTATCAGACATTTCAGCTAACTTCTCACAGAGCCAGAACCATTTCTAAAACAATCATATCAATAGAAGCCCACTCCCACACACCGGTTTCAGTCTACCTTCAGGTTTTTATGGGGGTTAACCAACCAAACAGTCAGTTATTCTCCCTGCCTGACCCCAAAATCAGGCAAACTAACATCAAATAAGGAATTGTTGTCATCTACCCCAATTGGCAAGCCTTCTAGCTCTACCCCTCTTCCCATGATCTCATTTGCTCTCAATCAGCAACACCTGTGAGAAACAGGTGCCCCACCCCAAATAAAAATCCTTTAAAGACAAAAATCAAGCATGGAACAGGGAATATTGCCTGTTAAAATGTGTGTAGAAAGCAGAGTGTATTTACTATAGTGTTTTCAATCTGGTTTTATACTATAGTTATATCTTCCAATAGAATAAAGAAAGGGCACCCTAATGCACCAGCAGCTAGGTAAGAGGTGCTCCCCAAAATGGAATAGGTGTGCATTCTGGTCATAGTACTTTCTTCTTCCCTGGTTTGGGACCAGGTTTGTTAAACTATGAAAGAGAAACCAGATGGGGCTGCAGGTGATCTCTGTAGCTTGCTTTTCTCCAGCCATCAAAAATGAATGAAACTCATCCTAGTCCCTTTTAGAGAAGGTGGCAGACATAGATACTGGTATGATACAAAGTTCCCTCATCCCCCACAGTCCTACCCAGAACTAAGCAAACTCTGTGATACCGCTAGCCAAGTTTTGGCTTTAGAACCCTGTTTGAATTTAAAAAGAACACTGGTTGAGAAAGGGGCTCAACTGATGCTTGGATGTGTGTTTCAGGGCTTCTGGATTTGGTATTTATGGGCCATTACAGAAATAAGTTTGGTATCAGGTGTAAAGGTTACTGCCCTAAGTTCAGTGAATTTTGGATCTGGGATTCTGACTTGGGCCTATCCATGTCATTTATATACTATCTTGCATCTCTATTACTTAATAATAGATAAGTACAACAGCTGCTAAAGGGTAGGGAGCATGTGTGCATATAAGTATCTATATAGTTAGATGAAACCAAAAAAGAATCTCTGTTCCAACAACTTGCAAAGTGAGGACTTGATAGTTCTATTTAGAAACAGTGGGTCTGATTCACCATTGCCTTTCACCCTGTGTAGTCATTTACACCTGTGCAAAGTGGGTACAGACCACTACCATTTGGGACAGGTATAAAAGGCTATGCACAGTAGTGGAGAATCATGTCTAGGGGGTCGGACAAGTTTTCTGTAAACTTCTTAGTGGCTTGCCCAGTGGGGACATTGTAAACTTGTAGAACCTTCCTAATTTCTCTTTAAGTTGACTATATAGATTCTAATTAATACCCAAGATCCAAAGTCTTTCTGACTCTGATTCCCTATGACATGTTATAGCTGCGGTACAAGGTCAGGCTAAAGAAGCCGTGCTGGTTTTGGGTACTCTCTTATTGCTTTTTCTCTTCATTAATACAGTGGAATTACTTTCTTGTAAAACCTGCTTATTGTACTTAAATGTACTAGCATTTCTTACTTTTCTAATTAACTTTCTTATCTGAATTTCAACCAAAAATAACAAGAAATGTAATAATGATAAGATATTGTTCACCTAAAAACATGCATTCTTTCTATCGTTATCTCTTTGCTTGCAGTTTCTCACTTGTTGTTTAATTAAGGTATCAGAATATTAGCCCCAAATTATTTTCTTGATCTAGTACTTGAATTCAACTGAAACAATTTAGCCTTTCTCAGTATTTAACCTTTATCTGTAACATGCAGATACAATTTGGCACATATTGTATTCGATTCACATAATTTAATGGGTAATATTATGGGGCGGGGGGAGTCTTGTTCATAACCAGACAAACTAATTAAATAAACAGATTGGATTCAGCAACTTTGTGCACTCAGAGAAGTTTAAATACTGGTGTCCCTTATGCTCCTTGATCTTGAATGTAACAGCACTAAAGTGATAAGTACCCTGAGGAATTGTGGTAGTAAGGTGTGGAATTCAAAGCAAGGGTCTTACCAGTTTGTTAATTACAGTGGAGGATAACAGAAGTGTACATACAACCTAACCCACTCAATTTAGTCTTGCTCAGCACAGCTAAGTATGCCTGTTACAGACCTTAGAGACTTACAAGAAAAACAACTTCTGAACCACACTGCTGAGAGGGAGAAAAGGAAATTCTCCAGGAAAGGCAAGCATGATGGAGACTCATCTGGGTTCAAGTCTCAGAAGAAACTTCAGGTGGCTATTTGCCTGCTGTTGATGGAGCTGTGTGAGAGGTTTACTTTCTTTGGCATTGTCTGCAACATGATTCTCTTTTGCACTATCAAACTTGGCTATCCCAACTACCAGGCAGCCATCATAAACATGTGCTTTGTAGGTGCCTCCATGTTATCACCTGTGTTTATGGGCTGGTTTGCTGAACATCTGGTGGGGAGGATCAAGCTGGTGTATATCTGCATATTTCTCCACTTTCTAGGTAGGTGCTATGCCATGATTATTTCATCTACAATGTGCTTTTTGTATGCAATTCTGCTCTAATAAGTCAGTTTCTTAAAAAGTACTATAGAAACATACTATTCCTTACTTATATGCAAATCCAATAATTGTCTCCAACCTTGTGGCCTTACCAAAGTTCTTTAATAGCTAAGGACTTAACTTTTCTTTCACAAAATGTACTGGAGTAGATTTGCTAATATACCTTAACGAAGCATTATTTTGAACAATACTAAATAATGTTTGTAAAATAAGGTCTACATTTTCAAAGGTGACTAGAGATTTTGGATGCTGCAGTCTGAGAGCCTAAACTGTGATGCTATAAAGTGGCTTAACTTTTCAGAAAGCAGGCACTCAGCATTTTCTGAAACTGAGTCCCTTTAAGGTATCAGGTTGGGCACCCACAGTCACTAGTCACTTCTGGAAAATTCAGTGATATAACCACTTGTTAAAGTCCATAATTTGCAATGCATTTCTCCAATTGGTGCAAATTTATGGGGTTCTGCTGTATTTAAAAGCTACATGGTTGTTAATAAGACCTATATTTTGCATAGACAAACTTTGAACTCGGAAGCCACATTTTGATGCTTACCTTTAGGGCCTGACTCATATTAGCACTATCTGACTCCTTCTCCCACCCAATGGGCTAAAATCTTTTATACAAAGTTCAGGATACACTTCTTAAAATATTTTTCCAGGTAACTTATATGTGTGAATTTTACTGACCCATGATTTTCTGTACATTTGAAGTCCCCTCAATATACAGATGTGTAATGTATGGACACCTCCTAATGATCTTCCACATAGTGGCTGGAATGGAGGACAGTATGAAACTTTAGATATGCACAGCTATTAGTATGGGTTGTCAAGGAGATTGGGTGATATAGAGGGTGGAGCCACTCCCCTTCCTAGACAAACTGAGTTTGCAAGTCTCTGCTGACTTTGTATAACTGTCATCTGGAATTTAGTAAATGTCAAAGCTGATGATTGCTTTCTCAGCCTGAGTTGAGCTGATCTAAAAACTTAATTATCTTTTGTCTCTAGGACAGAGTTGAGGTGAAACAGGGACCTTAAGATTGCTACTCAGATCAGGCAGGTACAACTAGACAGTCGATCTCTGATGCTGCAGCCTGTCCTTTAAACTGCACAACTACTAGAATTAACTTCATAAAATCACTAACTTTTAAGTGAACAGCACAGGCAGAAGATGAGGGCGGAACAAGTTATTGCTGCTCCATTAACATAAACATTGGAAATTCACCCAGATTTCCAGAACGCTATACTAAAATAGATATCAATTGCATTGCCACTTGATGTATAGCTGACACACAAGCTTATTCACATTTACTCATCCCAAGAGCGAGTTTGCATGCAGGCAAATAAGTTGTTATTTAGGCTAGGTCTATACTACCCGCCTGAATCGGCGGGTAGAAATCGACCTCTCGGGGATCGATTTATCGCGTCCCGTCGGGACGCGACAATCGATCCCCCAATCGGCGCTCTTACTCCACCAGCGGAGGTGGTAGTAAGCGCCGCCGACAGAAAGCGGCAGAAGTCGATTTTGCCGCCGTCCTCACAACGGGGTAAGTTGGCTGCGATACGCCGAATTCAGCTACGCTATTCACGTAGCTGAATTTGCGTATCTTAAATCGACTCCCCCCTGTAGTGTAGATGTACCCTTAGATAGGCATTGGAGTAATTGAGATAATTTCTGAATTGGTCTTCTCTCAAGGCAACATTTCTGTCCTCTTGACCTCCATCCAGAAGTGTGAGTTTGAATTCAGTTGTGTGCAGCAGGTGCCCTGAGGTCATGTTTCAGAAAGCTTTGCACTGGAAACTTTAGCGCCTCCTTTAGAGTGCTGCCGCAGCAGGAAATAATTCTGTGTTGTGTGCATCAGCTATAAAAACACCTGCTGTGGATGACTGAAGTGAAATCGTTGCAAGAATTTAAAAGAAAAAATGACACAGAGGATCAAGTGGGTCAGTGGAAAAGAGGAAGAAGGGGGCCGTTTTGTCTAGATTGCCAAGGCACTGTATGAACTACCTGAGAAAATGACTTCCTTTGTATCCTCTTCCTTACTCCATAAACTTCCTGTTTGGAATCCCCTTGCCCTTTGATTCTAGATTACAAAAAAAAAAAAGACATCAAAGTGGGACAAATTGACTCTAATGATAAAACAAGGATAAATTGTTGAACTGTATACTGAATATACTGCATCAGACCACTTAACCGTCCATTGACAACTGTCAGAGGTAGCACAAAGCATTTTCCAAAGAGGAACAAATGTCACTATAGCAAAGGGAAGTTTCTTGGAAAATAAATATAAAATATTAGGGATGATGATTTGATACTAGACTTGTTAGTGAATGTACAATGCATGGGATATGACTCTTTATTGTGGGAGCTTATTACAAATTTTTGCTTAATCCATCATCCTGGGGCCGGGGTTTCAGATTTTGATGTTTAGTATCACAATCCTGGTCTCCGTTGCCATGCTTGAAGCAGACATGTGTGCAAATATTATGTATATGATGTATTTGAATTTCACTCAAAATACACTTAAAAGACTCATCAAATGTGAGAGCATCACTTTGCTTATAGAAACAACGCTGTAGATTGGAGGTGCCAAATCTCAACTACAGAGTCCTAAAATGTGTTCTGGGGCTAACTTTCTCTGAAGCTGCAAAGGGAAGAGTAAAACTGATAAAATAAGTAAAAATAATCAAATAGCATATCTGAGAATACATCATAATGTTTGCCAAATTATCTGATGAATATTGTTCATCTAGCTATAGTGATAAACTACAGCTTTTGAGTTCAAGCAAGCAATTTCTATTAATCCATCTAGATAGATAAGAGTAGCGCAAATTATGGTCATGTTTCTTTATTTGTAAAGAGAACTTCTATGCCACATACAGGGCCGGCTCTAGGCACCAGCATTCCAAGCATGTGCTTGGGGCGGCACTTTTCAAGGGGCGGCATTCCAGGGTTTTTTGTGTTGTTTTTTTTTTTTTTTTTTTTTTTGCTTCGGCGGTGGCTCTCCAGTTGTTTGTTTTTTTTTTGCTTGGGGCAGCAAAAAACCTGGAGCCGGCCCTGGCCACATAACTGCAGCCCTCTGGCCCCAGGCCAGCCCTGAAAGCAGTGAAGTTCAGGTACTTCTGCCATACGTAGACAATATTCTTGCCTAATAGTAGTATTCAGAAAAGTTCTGGACTTGTAGTTGTACCCACATGTCACTCTAAAGGAATGAATAATTTTCTCTCCCATTGCGTGTGTAGATATTTTTTTTAACTAATTTAGAGACTATAATTCCAATATAGCTGTTAATCTAGAAAATAAATACTGGATTCAATGCTTCATCATTTTAACCAGTTACATATGTCCACTTCTTCCCCATTGCAGGTACAGCCCTACTACCTGTTGTTGCCTTCCCCTTTGAAGATTTTTATATAGACAGACACTATATCTTTCACCCGCTAGCCAAAAAGGAGCAGAAAATACTCTTCTACTTTGGGCTATTAACAGCCTGCTTTGGATCAGGAGGCATAAGAGCTGTAGTTTGTCCACTGAGTGCATACAACCTTGAGGATTTTGAACCAAAGGAACTTCTTTCTTTTTTCAATTGGTGAGTTTCTTAATATTGCAATAGAACAACTGTGTGAGATGATGGAGTTTAATTAAAAACTCAAGTGCATCTCAATTTTTTTTTAAATGAATTTATATAGAAAATCTCATTTTTAGCTGTAACAATTAATTTTCAAAAGGACTACCTAAATTTCCTTCCAGGAACATAGATTCATAAATCTTAAGGCCAGAAGGAACCACTCTGATCATCTAGTCTGTTTTCCTGCATAGCACAGGCCAGGGACTTTCACCCAGGGTGAATCAGAGTCAAGTGATTTGCCCAACTTGACACAGAATTAATAAGCAAGTTGCTATTTAGAACCAAGTTATTCTATCTGAGTTCTTACACTATGGTACTTAAAGGCCTGTCAGGGATGTGGTGAAGTTGCTTGCTGGGTCTCAATCCTTTGATCTAGGTTGAGTAGACTCCGTAGAGGTGGCAAAGTTCCTTGAACACACATAAGTACAAGCACTAAAATAAAAAAATCAAAACATCACATTTGGAACTGTCGTTTACTTCAAGAGGTGGTTGATTTCCTCATGTGAGCAGTGGTGATAGAAATGAACTGTTTCCTTTTGGTTAACAAGCTGAAATGGAATACTTTGATATTTACAAATTATTTTTTTTCTGGACACTGTTCCACAAAATTTCAACAGTTCAAGACTTTTATTCTGATTTGGGACAAAATGATGAAATACTAGAATTTTCCTGGGACAGAAATTCTTTTATTAGATATGCACAAATATTTACCTACCTCAGAGGGAGTTTTGTGATACTTAATTTTTGCCAATTATCCAGAAATTCTTGATTGAGAGGTGCTATACATGTGTCATGAATTGTTGGTACTACCAAAAATAAATCAAAGTGTATCTATTATGAACTGAAACTGAGAACATTTGAATATTGATAATGCCTCACTGATGAATCAATGAAGAATTTATTAGGTCATATTTCTGTTCGTATGGGGATGGATTCAGGGCTGGTGCAACCCATTAGGCGATCTAGGAGGTTGCCTAGGGCGCTGAGATTTGGGGGGCGGCGACTGCCGTGGTATTTTGGTGGCGGGACCTTCTGCTGCCTCTGTGGGGGGGCAGCATTTCGGGGCGGGACCTTCCGCTGCCTTAGGGCGGCGGAAAAGCTGGCGGCGCTCCTGGATGGCTTTCAGGGCTATTCCTTTTCCTCCCCCCAGTTATGTTAATATTGAAGATTTTTGGATTAAATCCAAACTTCAGCGAATAGTGTAGCTTTACTAAAGGTGGAAAAGACTGTTTGGTTCCTTAAAACAGATTCTGCCTCCTTGACCTGCCCAAAGGAGAGAGAAAAACATCCTCCTTTTTAATTCTATTCTGAGTTTTAATCCTTAATTAGCAACATCATTTTGATTAAATAAGACTCTGGAGGATTAAGACTGGAGAGCAATCAGTTGTTCTGAAAGATTGCTCTGGAGAATTTATTGTACTATGGTTTTAGTCATTCAGACTTGTGTTTAATCAAAGTGACATTTCTCAGTGTTGATTACAAAGGAGACATAACGACAGAATGAATAAAATATTTCCTTGGGGGAATCCAAATGGGTCAGTTCTTGGGCCTTTGGAAGTATCAGGAAAGGTGTGTGTGATTAAAAACTAATTTCTACAGTTGTCTGGCATCTGTGGCAGGAACCATATGATTTGTAATCTTAAAACTAACAAAATGGGGTTTACTTCTTCGCATTTCCTGGTCTCATTACAACCTCATAAGTTTATAATCATATGCTATTTTCTCTTCTTGGTAGATTCTTTGTCACGAGAATAAATGTTTAAAATACATATATATTTAATGAGACAGTTGCACACTGTTGCTTTTTAGCAAAATCTAGATTCTTATCCAACCTGCTTTACTTCAGAAATCAGGCCTAACAGCTTTTCAAAAATCAGACTTCTTGCAAAGGACTGTGTAACTATGATCTTAACCCTAGTATATGGTGAGGGCTGCATTACACTTCTAGGGCCTGAATCCAATCTCTGGAACAAACTAGGTGTAAAATCATGGAAATAAATGGATTTCACCAATGTTAAACTAAGAAGAGGAAAACTGGGTCCTGAGAGTTTGAAGCCTGGGGCTATAAGTTAAGGCTGTAAACTGGTACTACTTCTTGATGCATGAGAACTCCCATTGCTATCGATGGGAGCTGAGCAAAAAGGTCAGGGACAGAATATGGTCCTTAAATTCTCACCAACAACTGAGCTGGTAAAACAAAATTGCCTTGAGCATTGAGGTGTTGGAAAATTGTGGTTCGTATAGGATCACTTCTATATCTGACCTTGTCTTCTATTCCTTCTGAAGAAGGAATCACCAATCTTGCTCGGTGTTTCCCTCTTCCTTCTACTAATATTTCTTTCCTTTTTTGTTGCCTCAACTCAATCTCTCAATTATTTTCATCACTCCTATTTTGTATTTATCTCTTTTTTTGTTCCTTTCTCCCTGTGTTCACTACCATGGCCACTGAATTTTTGTTCCCTGGAGGGTGTCAGAAGGGCTTTCCTTTCTGCAAAGCCTCATTGTCAAATGAAGAAAAGTATGATAAACAAATGTTTCTGCATAGTTTTGGAAATGGACCATTATCTGGTACTTGAGTGTATCTTAGTCCAAACTCCATTGCCTATAGCTAGCCTAGCTTCTGTATAACACTCTTCATCAGTAGATATCAAAACACTTTACAAGGAGGTCAGTATCATTATCTCCATTTTACAGATGGGGTAACTGATGCATGGAGTGGGTGAGTGATTTAGCCAAGGTCACCCAGCATATCATGGCACACCCAGGAATAGAACGCAGGTCTCCTGAATCCCAGTTCAGTGCTGTATCCATTAGGCAACACTGACTCTCCCAAGCTAACTTTGTCAGAAATAGAGTCAGAAACAGAGCTGGTTGAAAAACGGAATTTCTATTCCACAGAAAATTGAAACAGGATGAAACAAAATTTCAGCCTCAAGATCAAAAGTAAAACTCAAAATTTTTCATGAAACGAAACATTCCAAAGCACATCGCTTTGACCCTATAGAATATAATACATACATAAAAGTCAAAACAAAACATATGGCTAACTTCCTATTGAAAACATTGGCATAATCGGTATGTTCCTGTGAAACTTTTTGATTTTGTCAATTTCCCATCGCCTCTAAACAGAACCTTGGGGCAGAATCTGTGCTACTTCATTTTTTAAAAAGCAGCCACCAACCCCTTTTCTCCCAATAAAACTTTGCATTTCTCAGAATGGAAATCTAGCTGTTTACCTGGCAAGTATGAGGGCCTCAGTCATCACTGCTGGAATGTGAACCTGTGATCTCAGGAAGTATAAGCAAACCTGAGGTTCAGATTCCTGAGTCTACTGGAATATCTTTATTAAAGGACTGAAGCTTAACACTCCAAGACTGATTTATCTGACCTGAATGTGTACCACCAAAATATCCCTGGAAATCCTGTAATACCTGGTGCATGAAAAATGCTAAAGCAACTAGTAAATGGCCAAACTACTTCAGAGTAAGAGGTTGCAGAAGCAAGTATTGTGATCAAGGGCTGAGCAGAATGGGGTTAGGCTATTCTTACTCCACTCAAAGGCAGCATAAAATATCTGGCTGTTCCTGGTATAATTATTTGAAGTGAAATACTTAAGATGCTGACATTTAAACTGTAATTATAAAGCTTCTAAGCTAACACCCAACTGAGATGAATAGGGTAGTTCTCACCAGAAAGAGAGAGTTTTTCTGGATGTCTGTGGACTTTATAGGACAACATGGAAGCTATTCAAATTTGGACGGTGTCTTCACAATAGACCTACAGCCTTGCTTAAAAATGAGAAAACAAACTGCTGGGGCCAGCAGCAAAGTGCCAGTATGACATTCCAGCCAGTTCTTTTCCCTCCCCACCACCAATCACAGGAATCATGCTGTGGCAGACTAGCCCCACCTGCCAGATAGCCCTTTTTACCCAGCATATTGTATGGGCAGAACTACTAATAGAGGAAGCAAATTTAAGTCATTTGAAAGATGCTAGTGGAGATTTCCCACCTCCCCAGTTGGCCTTGAAGTAGTTCCATAGTCCTTTCATAATTCTGCCCAAAGGCTTAGCAGGATCTCTTGGGTTACAGGTTGATTGTATTGATGGCCATTTTTGTAGTGTTTTTGTAGAGCCAGGGGCCTTTAGGTGGCTGTAGAACCCGTGTTTTGCCATAGAATAATACTCTAGCAGGAATGCTTTCTCTTCTATTTACATACATATTTCTAGTTTTCAGGGTTGCAAAGAACAGATTTAAAATTTTTATTAAAGTGGATGTTTAAAATTAAATTTACACAAGTAAAAAGGGAAGATACTGTACATCTGGGGTCAGGCTTGGTAGTACAAATCAATGCAAAGATGTCTTCCTGAATCTGCAGGTAGTCTGAAACAATAACTTGAAGAGTTGAATGAATCCATTCTTTTCAGTGATTAACGCTAAAAACTAAATACGATTTAAATGTCAACTATTTTACTGATTCTCATTTAATCAGAAACAAGCAGCTAATTATATTAATGTGCAGATCTAATTCATTTAAAATCTCCTTTATACAATCTAATGATCATAGCAGTGTAGGACCGGATGGGACCTCGAGAGGTCATCTAATCCCCTGCACGCAAGGCAGGAGTACATAATAACTAGACCATTCCTGACAGGTGTTTGTCTAACCTGTTCTTAAAAACCTCCAATAACAGAGATTCCACAACCTCCCTAGGCAATTTGTTCCAGTGCTTAACTACCCTGACACTTAGGAAGTTTTTCCTAATATCCAGCCTAAACTTTCCTTCCTGCAATTTAAGATCATTGCTTATTGTTGTATCCTCAGAGGTTATCAAGAACAATTTTTCATCCTCCTCCTTGTAATAACTTTTTATATACTTGAAAGCTGTTATCATGTCCCCCCTCAGTCTTCTCTTTTCTAGAATAAACAAACCCAATTGTTTTCAATCATTTCTTATAGCCA